CCCCCCCAGCACCAGGCCCTGGGCATCGTGGCGGTCTGCTGCTGGGGACCAGCCCGTTGCCCCTCGGGGGTTCTCGCAGCATCGGTGCGATCCGGCAACACAGCTGCAGCCACAACGCTGGCTTGGTCCTGCGGCTTGCCCTCCACTGAGGGGTCCCATCTGTGGGGCAGGGCGGGGGAAGCCCTCCCATCCCATCGGCCCTCGCTCAGCCCAGCTGTGATGCGCCGCTCCCCTGGCGTTGCGAAGGGCGCACCAACAACTCCAGTGTGAATTTTTGCTCCCCGGCCCAGTTTTCTCTGCTTCTCCCCTGCCAAAAAGAGAACCGCTTAGCAGCCCCAAAAATTCTCTTTTCTCCCAACACGCACACCGTGGGCACGTCGCGCTCCCTCTTGCGCCAAATCGACACACGCCTCATTTAATTGGGGAACATGGCTCTTTGGATTCCTTTGAATGTAGTTTTATGCAGCAATGGGGGCAAAGCATTTTGGAGTCAGTGATGCGACCCAGCCCGAAAAGGCCCGGCCTCCACTGCCGGGACGAGGCAAGGCGCCCGCTCGGTGGCAAGGGCTCCTGCGAGTCCGGAGCACCCCCTCCTGCTGGAGGTCGCCGGCATGCCCCCCCACCCCCAGGTGAAGCCAGCAAAGGTCTCTGGAGCCCGGCAGCCCGTTGAGGGCTCAGAGAGACATGCAGCAAAGGCTGAACTGGGCCGGGTCCAACTCAGTAGGGCGTGGCTGCCCGTCTTCTCCGGGGTCTGTGCCAGACGAGCTTTTCCGGGCAGTGCCCCATGCTGCGTTGTGTGGTGTGCTGGTGGGCTCCCCCCGCACCTAAACACAGGAGGAGTGGTGTGTTTGTGGGTCTTGAGTCTTGGTGCAAAGCGAGGATGGGGAAGCATCGCCATGGAGCTCAGAGCCCCAAAGAGACCCCCCTCCTGCATCCCCACTGGGGCTGTGTGGCCCAGCAGGGCGACAGGGAGACATGGGTCAGTCTCCCAGTTCGCCATCGTGCAGGTTTCAGTGAGGGGGCGGCCGCCCTCGTTGCCTAGGCTTACGCCATTTATTCATTTAAAGCTGTTAGAAAGTGTCCCATTACTAGCGTCTCGGGACAGTTTATAAGAAACACAGATAAAAGTGGCACAGCAGCCAGCGAGTCACAATACAATCACACTTGAAACCAGTTCAGCATTGCCATAACGGGAGAATTAAAAGGGGTTTGCCTGGTGCCGAACAGAAAAGGGCCTTTTCCAGGCTTTGGGCCCCTTTGCCAACCATGGCGCCATTCTCGGAGAAGTCCTCCTCTGTTCAGAATTACTCCGAGGCCGCGCACAGCCTGCAGAAGCAAAACGCAGCAGGCAGGCAGTAGGTGCCGCGTCGTGGGGGGACATTCGGTGCGCCACGGCAAAAAGGGCGAGGGAGGCTGCCGGGGTGCAGCGCCAGGGAGAAGGCTGCTTTGCGCGAGACAGG